GAGGGTAAAATTAATTAAAAAATAACAAAGATGTGGTTGGATTTACTTGGCAAAGATTACAACGAGAGGTTTTATAATTGCGATCGAACTAGTAACTAAATCACCCTCTCTCTCTCCAGATATATAAGTATATATATATATATATATATATATAAACCTAGCAGAGAGAACTAAATCAGCCCCTCTCTCTCTCTCTCCGGATATATAAGTATATATATATAAACCTAGCTTTGGTGTGACATTCCATCGTAGTATTGAATTTATTACCAGAAAAGAAAAGGTACACATCATAAATAACACATATAGATTTGGTAAAGTAAAATATGATGCGTAGTGAAGGTGTTATGATCGTTACCGAAAGTGGAATCGCGCAAGAAATCAACGATGTACATGAGCAACAACAGCTTGCAGAAGAAGATAATATTATTCATGAATATGTTCAGTACTCTCCGGATCTTGTTTTTGGTCCATCAATCTTCGATGAATATCATACTCATCCTAATTATGATACCGGCGACTTTTCGTCGGAGTTGCTTCATTTTGATTTTGATTTTGATTATGATGGTGACTTTACTTTGCCTTTTGATATGGACTTTGAGTATGGATATGGTGACGGATTGTCCGATGAAATAATATCGAAATATCTGCAGACGAAGAGGGTTTCATCGTGGGGTGGTGACGGAATTAATAATATTATTGGAGAAATATGCGTCGTGTGCCAAGACGAACTTTGTCAACTGCAACAAAACGAGACGGTTATTGCGGCACTGGATTTTTGCGGGCATGAGTACCATTTTGATTGCATCAAACAATGGCTGCAACAAAAGAATACTTGCCCACTCTGCAAAGCTCAAGGTATTGTCCTTTGATGATAAGTAGGTGCTAATTACTTCTTAGTTAATTCTCTCCTAGTATTTTGTTCATTAATTTTTTTTATTAAAAAGGATTTTTCCATAAACAATGTAGTTGGTTTATTATATACTCGAACAAATTAAAGTAATTACGATGACCGTTTTATGTTTCATCCGGCGAACCAATTGTGCACTTGCGTATATTTTCACGGCCGACGGCCGGCAATCATCGATGTGAACTATATATTGTGATTTTAAATTAAAATAATATATATTTATCATAACTTATTTTTGTGCAAGAAATTTTAATCCTGCTGAATTGTGTAAAGTTTGTTGATTCTCATGTAACGCTATATTTAGAGCATGGTTAATGCATGTAATTTTTAAAATTGAAAAGGCAAAAACCATTGACTAACTAGAGTTAATATTTAAAACTCATGAACTTTATACAATGTGCCATCTTCAACAAATACGTTAATTATCATGTTCTCCAAGCTTTTGTAATAGCATCATGGTTCATTAGAACGTCGCGGTACACTGTTGTGGACACTGTTGTTCCAGTTTTACTGTAGTGTTGCGGTCGCAACGGACAAATTTTAATTAAAAAGTAAAAAGAAAAAGAAAACAAAATTAACGTCAAATAAGTTTTTAATTAAATATTACAGTAGAATATTATACAAACTATCATTAAAACTCCATTTATAATTTTAGAACAATTCTTTAAACCTTGAGAAGTGTAAAAAGAAGTGTAACTATGCACAAACAGGGGCGAGTCTACACTTGGGCAATGGTCGACTCGAGCCCACCCTCAATTGATAAAATATCCCCTAAATTATACTTATATATCTATTTAGACCCCAAATTTTATTAATTAACTCACTCAAAATCCAAATTAATGAAAAAAACCCTAAATTATACTTATATATCTATTTAGACCCCAAATTTTATTAATTAACTCACTCAAAATCCAAATTAATGAAAAAAAAAGAAAAAAACAACCCCAATTTTTTTCGGGGTGAGCAAAAAACCGAAAAATCAAAAAATC